AAATTTTGGTGAGAATTTTCCAGGAAAAAAAATATTCGTGATGGAATTCAAGCGTGATATATATTTGGCTGGAAAACCACAAGTGGCTATCGTTAGAGCACTCTAGACGGAGGAAAACAGCAACATCAGCAGTAATGGTTCGAAAAGTAAAGAAGCGACTTGATTGAAACCCGCGTCGTCGCCGAAATATGACTCGTGAGCTGAATATATCGCAATATTAAATTCGGCAAATATTGAAAAATGAGCTCGGGGATAAAGCCATTGAAATTCCAAAAAGTGCAAGAACTTACCCCGCAACAGAATGAAAATGGACTCGAAAGTGTTAAAGAGTTGCTTCGCTTGGCCGAAAGTGGTGGACTGCGGAATTTTTGTTTTCTCCGATGAGAAAACATTCGTTGTCCAGCAGTTTGTGAACAAACAAAATGATCGTGTCTACTTGCCAAAGAGGTCAGCTGAAAATGTGCACCTTCGGTTGGCCACCAGAACTCAAGCGCCGGCCATGGTGATGGTGTGGGCAGCCATAACATCCGCTCGTATTAATCGACCGTGGCATAAGAATAAATGCCGAATATTATCGCAAAAATATTCTGGAGGGTGTATTAAAGTCTTGGGTACGCAAAAAGGACTGAGCACCATCGCACTTAGAACGCGCCACCCAATAATGGTTACAAAATGAGGCTCCTCGCTTCATTTCCATCGCATAGTGGTAACCAAAATCTCCGGATACCAATCCGTTGGACTATTGTGTCTGGAGTATTTTGAAAAGCATGGTTGGCACTAAAAAAAATACATTGGTATTCCTGCCAAAGGTGACCAATTCGAACAAATCTTAATTTATTCTAAAATTTGATGCTATTTCCGACATTTTTTGCTTTCATTCAATAAAATTAATAAAAAAAAAATTAAAAATTATGGCGTTTGACTTTGTTGCAGTTCTTTTTTTATCTCAACCTGTATTTACATTTGAAATGAAGGAGGTTATTTAAAATTCATTCCGGAGGAACATAACTGCTCATTTAATTCTCAACTTTAGACTGCTTGTGGGGGATATACCAGAGAGAGCAGAATCAATGTTTGATTAAAAATGTACTACCAAAGTTGTTTAGGTTTAGTGTAGGCTTACCTTCCAAGGTCTTTTTTTTGGGCTTGGGTGGCCAAACGGTAATCCAGTGTGTCGTTACGCCAATCTTTGTAATCACAATTTTTACTTTCGATATAACAGCAAAATTAAACAAATTCCCATTTTTAAATAACTTATGTCTGGCATATAAAAATACCATTTCACAAAATTTCTAATAATGTTCCATAACTGGGAAACCTATAAATAAAGTAGTCATGGCTACAATTTTTAATTAGAACTAAATATGGACAGCAGCAGAAGCAGCAGCAGTATATCCACACAAATGTATGGAAAAATAGAAAACAACAAATGGGGAAAATGAAATGGTGGAAAACATAGCTATAAGTGTGTGTGTGCGACACGTAGCAAAACATGCACATGCAATGCAACAACGTTGACATGTCGACGTCATAGACAAATTATCACATTTCCATATTAAAGGCTTCCGGGAAAATATCCAATGATGCACAGAGAATTGGGGGGAGAGAGAGGGAGAGAGAGACTCTAGATGCCACTGTTTGTTGATTGCAAAGCTTCATCCTATCATCCTTTGTGTGTGTGTGGAAAATCATCCTTAGCTTTGATGTGATATATTGGTGTATATGTCCATGCAAAAAACAAAAACAACAAGGAAATGTACAGATGGTTGGTTGTAGACAGTTGTCGTTCTTGTTGTTGTTGTTGTTTATGCCATTTGATGGCTAAGAAAATTCACTACATTTTATGGACTTTGTTTCAAGTTCATGAATGTACAATGGGTCGTATGGATATTTAATAGATCATATGAAGTAACTGGTCTTCTTTCTATATGCGAAACTGTCTCATATATAGGTTGATTTGTATACTATAAGAGGGCCATCTGTTATTTCATACCTTGGATCATGTTTTTTGGGAATTTCTCTGTAAAATGCAGAACTAAAGATCTGTACGAGACTTTCCATCTGTATTTCATGCCACCTATAGGATTAGATAAAAAATTTCTAACAAGGTCAAACGACATAATTTTTACAATTTTTTTTTTAATTTTATTGAATGAAGGCAATAATGTCGGAAATAGCATCAAATTTTAGAATAAGTTTAGATTTGTTCGAATTTGTCACCTTTGGCACGAATTATGGCCTTCAAACGGCCAATGAAACCGTCACACGCTGCCCGAATATTGATCTGTGGCGAAGCGCTTGCTTGAGGTGATCGACACTTTGGCATTTTTTAGTGCCAACCTTGCTTTTCAAAATACTACAGAAACAATAGGCCAACGGATTGGTATCCAGAGATTTTGGTGGCCATTGTGTGCTGGAAATGAAGCGAGGAGCCTCATTTTATAACCATTCTTGGGTGGCGCGTACTGAGTGCGATGGTGCTGAGTCCTGTTGGAATGTCCAAGGTCTGCGGCCAAAATGATTGCGTGCCCAAGACTTTAATACACCCTCCAGAATATTTTCTCGATAATATTCGGCATTTAGTCTGATGCCACGGTCGATCCACGGTGTACGTCCCTCTGTCTGTCCATGTATTTTTGTAAACAAAATGCAGATCGCATTTATTATTCGAATGAGATCAAATTTTGCACAAGTCATTTGCAAATTGGAGATAATCGGTCAAAATTTAGATATATCTCCCATATATATACTCGTCCGATTTACCTTTCTTGTGCACCAAACGTGTAATATCAGCACAAATAGTATGGAATTTTGCACATACAATCATATTAGGCCTGAAAATAAGTATGCCAAATTTAATCGAAATTGGTTCAGATATAGCTATAGCTCCCATATATATTGTTCAACCGATTTTTTATTTTTGTCCTCCGCAGCCGTAATATGCACTCTGGAACAACAATATTTGGGGAAATATATCAAATACAGCTCAGAAATAACTTTGCTAAAATTTATCCAGATCGGGACAGATTTGGATATAGCTCCCATATATAACTTCGTCCGATTTGCTTTTTATTGTGCACCAAACGTGTAATATTAGACCAAATAGCATGGAATTTGGCCCTTACTACCTAATTTAGTCTAGAAGCTAGTACGTCAAATTTCGATCGATTCAGATATAGCTATAGCTCCCATATATATTGTTCTTCCGATTTATTAGATTTGTTCCCCACAGCGGTAATATGCACTTCGTAACAACGATATTCAGGGAAATATATCAAATACAGCTCAGAAATATCTTTGCCAAATTTTATCGAGATCCGTTCAGATTTGGATATAGCTCCCATATATATCATTATCCGATTTTAAGTTAATTGTGCCCCAAATGGGCAATGCAACACCCAATTAAAAAAAACAAATTCTTCGACAAATTAAGTCCTTTGAACTTAAATTATAATCATAATCATAGCTTGTATGATTTAATTATCCCAAAAGAAACTTTTAATTGCTGTGTGAAGCTCTACTAATACGCAAAGTGGTGTAGAGTATCATAAAGTCAGTCCCGCCCGACTTTAAGACTTTCTTTAATAGTTTTTTTCTGTTGAGGTTTAAGTTCTTGCACATTTTTGAATTTCAATAGCTTTACCCCGAGCTCATTTTTCAATATTTGCCGAATGGAATGTTGCGATATGTTCAGCTCACGAGCCATTTTTCGTTCACTGCTACGCGGGTTTCGATCAAGTCGCTTCTTTACTTTTCGAACCATTTCTGCTGATGTTGCTGCTGTTTTCTTCCGTCCACTTCCTTGACGTCGGGCTACGCTACCAGTATCACGGTAACGAGCGATGGTACGAGACACAAAAGATTTATTCACATTTAAATGCTGAAGTGCTCCAACGATATCCACTTGTGGTTTTCCAGCCAAATGTAAAGAAATCACACTACCACGCCTGAATTCCATCACGAATAACATTTTTTCTGAAAATTCTCACGAAAATGAAAATTTTGTACGCTTGTAAACAATATAATGAGCTATCAGTGGAATAATTTTAGCAGCTGTCGGACGACTGGCTTAGAAATGACAGCAGTCTGAAGTTGGTTGCAGTTTTTTCATCTCCCTCGTGAAGCTATTTTTTGATCTACTGAATTCTCGTAAGTGACTCTCCATTTATATTCCATGCTACCTACCCTACCACCTTGTAACCAAATTCGGAGTCGTGTTTAAAGATCAGTTATAAGGCAATTCTACATTTTTTCATTCCATTTGATCTGATTGGATTATGGCTATTTCAACCTGTACTCTCGCACATATGGCCTAATACATTAAGCCTGCGGATACTTTGCATATGTCCTTTTGATCTATCAAAGAACACTAAGCCTTTTTAACATGACAGCTGAGTGTTTATGACACTGTGTCATGTTCTTCTTTCTGTTCGTTCATTTCACATGGTTTTGCATGTTCCGAATGAGTGACGGACTGGCTGACTACTCACTCGTAACTGGCATCTCCTATTTTGTATGACTAAACTTTTCTCTCTACTTTTTTGTGTGGATGGATGTGTGGATGCGAATGAAATTGCGTTGTTTACAACGCATCATTGTGTGTCATAGTCATCGTCGTCATCATCATCATCAAACGAAACTCCTCCCAATTGGTGTAATTGAACGAGAGGCTGGACAGGAATGCAAAAATTCAATAAAAACGAAAATGCAGTAAAAAAACATAAAAGGACAAAAACACTCTATTGATAATTGTAGGTCTATTGCAGAACTGCAAGAATGTTAATGTTTGTACCACGATGATCAATTTTCCCTTTATGATATCGGAAAAAAATTGCAAAAGTAGTAGATTTTTGCGGATTCTGGAACAGGGCATGTGTTTTTCTTTTTTTTTATCGGTGTCAGATTTGGTCCCATATTTTGGATACCAGACCTTTTATGGGAGTTTATATTCTTTGTTTTTTATAACCAACTCAGATTATTTAATATAAGCTTCAACTTACCGTTTTAATCCAATTGTTCCAGCAAAACTTAAATTCCTCGCGATCAATGAACTCATCTTCATTCGTATCAAAGACAGCAAATATTTCTTGCAAACGATCTTCGGGGAGTTCATAAATGTGACCTTTGTCATTGCGAAACAAAGCACGGCAAATTAAACTGAATTCGGTCAAACTTAGACGATCGTCCCTAAAAATAAAAAATTAAAAAAAAAAAAAAATTCTTATTTTGGGGATTTTTGTTGGATGAAACTATGAAATCAAAGCATTTGCGAGCACAACAAGAGTTCAATACATGTATTTATATGATACCAGCAAGTGCTCGAAAAGTCCTAACTAAAATTTTGGATTCGTTCCAACAGTTCCTACACAATTTGTTCAGTTTGACAAAACTTTTTAACCAAAACTTTATATATCGTACTAAATTTTCAGACTTTTTTCAAATTTTTCCCTTTTCGAAAAGAATAATAGGAAATTGTTTACCTTTTGCGCCAAAAAGTCTTCGAAATCTTTCATTTTGAAGTTTACCGAGGAGAATATTAGTCAAATCATTGCACATGGATTTTCTGTCAACCTCTCCATATGTAAAACCCAGAAACCAAAAGTGGCTTCAATATCGAACTTCGGAATTTTATCTTTATCCCTTAACCCAATACCAAATTTAGTAAAAAAACAATTAAAAAATCGTTACTACAAAAACAAACTTTTCTGTGAAAAAGATGCTAATAGAACTTGAGTCCAACTTGGAGGGTTTCTGGTATTTAATTCATAAATGCTTAATCGCAATAAGTTCGAAATAAATACTACTTTCCTGAAAACGACCCGAAACCGCCACCTTATCTCAATGCTTTTCGAACATTCCAAAATCACCTCCATATCTCAAGGTCCCATACCAACAGAGACCTCAATATCAAATTTCTGGATTCCAGCTATTGTATTTGTTGAACAATTATAGTACGCGTTTTCAAAACCATCTCATTCTTTCAACTACATACTCCAACAGTAACATCTATATCAAACTGAAGGATTTCAGCTTTATCCTGTCACACAATACCAAATTTAGTACTATTTTCGTAAAACTATAGTAGAGATTTTCCGAAACCCGGCTACACATGAACAGCGACCCTTATATCAAATTTCAGATTTCAAGCACTATATGTTTACTAAATACCAAATTTTAACAAATACAAGGTGAGTAAAAAAACTGCAACCAATTTCAGACTGTTGTCATTTCTAAGCCACTCGTCCGATAGCTGTTAAAATTATTCCAGTGACAGCTCATCATATATCATATTTACAAGAGTACAAAAAAATTTTGGTGAGAATTTTCCAGAAAAAAAAAACGGAAGAAAACAGCAACATCAGCAGAAATGGTTCGAAAAGTAAAGCAGCGATTTGATCGAAGCTTCATCGGAGTGGCCGAAAAATGGCTCGTGAGCTGAACATATCTCAATATTATATTCGGCAAATATTGAAAAATGAACTCAGGGTGAAGCCATTGAAATTCCAAAAAGTGCAAGAACTTACAACGCAGGAAAATAGACTCAAAAGAGCTAAAGAGTTACTTCGCTTGGCTGAAAGGGATGAACTGCCGAATATGGTTTTCTCCGATGAGGAAACATTCGTTGTCCAGCAGTTTGTAAACAAACAAAGAGGTCAGCTGAAAATGTGCACATTCGGTTGGCCACCAGAACTCAAGCGCCGCCCATGGTAATAGGTGGGCCGCCATAACAGCCGATAGTCGCTCTCCGCTCATACTAATCAACCGTGGCATCAGAATAAATGCCGAATATTATCGTGAAAATATTTTGGAGGGTGTATTGAAGCCTTGTGCACGCAAACATTTTGGCCGCAGACCTTGGACATTACAATAGGACTCAGCACCACCACACTTAGCACGCGCCTCCCAAGAATGATTACAAAATGAATTTCCTCGCTTCATTTCCAGCGCACAATGGTCACCAAAATCTCAGGATACCAATCCGTTGGACTATTGTGTCTGGAGTATTTTATAAAGCAAGGTTGCCACTAAAAAATACCAATGTGTCGATCATCTCAAGCAAGCGCTTCGTCGGGAATGGGCCAAAAAACCGCAGAGGAACATTCGAACAGAGTGTGACAGTGCCAAAGGTAACCAATTCGAACAAATCTAAACTTATTCTTAAATTTGATGCTATTTCCGACATTTTTTTGCTTTTATTTAATAAAATTAAAAAAAAATAACCATTATGGACTTTGACTTTGTTGCAGGTTTTTTATCTCATCCTGTATGTTTTCGAAATGTTACTTTTTATATGGCCGAGGAGCTTAAGTGCAGTTTTGAAATTTAGGTTGTTTCTTTAAATGGATTAGACTGCTACCGTTCTTTAATCTTCATTATAGGGTATTTTAGATTCTCCCTAAAATTAGAATTTCAAATTTGTTACAACATCTGTTCAACATAATCTTTTAATTTGAGATATTTATAGCACTTTTTTAATATTTTCTCAAGAATTTTTTGTTCTCACTGTAAATAATATATTTATTCTTCGGAAGATAATGTCATCTGACACTCAAGTTTTGTAACTTATAACACATTTATTGTTTATATTGCTATTTTTAATTATTTAATCAAACAAAAATTAATCATTTCCCAGTAAGAATTGCATCAAAAGTTGTCTTTTTCACAAACTATTTCACTTCAATTAATCCACTAGGTCGTAATATTTTTTTCAGATTTTCTTTGAAATCATTCTTGATCGATCACTTTGACCCTTCAAACACTCATTCACTCACTCACCCGTCTTTATCGAATGCCGTAAAACAAGCGTCCATTGCTGAACCGTTCGGATCGTCAATGACAATTGGCGGTGTTGGTGAGTCCATACTTTGATGAGGAAATGTGGCGCACTGCACCTCTGGTCGGATTTATATATCGGCACAGCACACTAGCTCACGGCTTCACCCACACATGCAATAGCGCACACACAAACACACGCGCGCTTCAAAGTTCAAGAAATTTGGCTTGCGCTGGAATCGGTAACTTTGGAACTGCAAAAGAAAAAGAACAAGAAAGAAATCAAGGATAATGGCAGCACCAAAGGAGTGCAGGCACACCGAGGATATCGAAAAGAACACAACATTTTTTAAATGTATGTCTGTCTGTCTTTCTGTCGTTTTGAAGGATATAAGTTTCATAACTGTGCAATTTATAAAAGTTTCCGTTTTTCGTTTATCGTCTTTTAAGCCAAGCGACAAGCACACACACACTTAATTTGAATATAGGTAACTTCCTCCCCGTTGTGTTTATGCTTTCCTTGTTTTGGGGTTAAAAATCCTTTTGAGTAAAGATTCACGCAAACACTTCGTGGGTGGTTTTAAAGTTTGTTTTTTTGCTTTGATTTTTGCCAACCTTCAAAACTCCTTAACAAAAAACTTCCCGTTGACAGCGAATCCTCTGCAATGTTACTGCAGCAGTTACCACTTTGTGTGCTTCTAAATGAGTTTGTCGGCAATGACTGATTGTCAGTTTTGGAAATGCGATTTTAACAACTGAATGTTCCGAACAGTTCCGCTCAGAAAATAAAAAAAGCTGAGGTAAAAAAAGCCCAGGGAAAACACCGCTGCGGGAAGTACACCGCAATTCACAATTAGAAATCAACAAAAGATAGAGACACACACCCTCACACCCTTAAGCCAACCCCCCAAACAACCGTCAACCTCGCAACCAAACAAAACAAAATGACAACAAAAACAGCAACAACACAACGAATATTTATGAAGTTCAAATGATACGGAACGAATTTTCAATACCCTGTTTCATAAATAGGTTTTGTTTCTATTGTAAAATTAGTTTGAAACATTTGTAGTTTTGAAAATTGAAATGGGTTCGATTCGTAATGGTTTAAATGGACATTGACAAATTTCACTATTGATTGGAAATTGTTTTGAAAATCTCATTAAATTTAAATAATTCAAAGTTCGAACTTAAAATAAAAATAAATTTCAATAAATACTCGGTACTTCGATACCCTGCACAGAATTCATTTCAAGTCTAAATATCCATTTGCATGCGCTTTATTCTAAGAAAAAATTGTAAGTAATCAATATAAGATTTGGAGATCATCTTTCTATGATTTGAATAAATAAAAATCAAATATTTCAGGATCGACTTCAAGATTTAAAACCAACTGTTTAGGCTTCATTGAATTGAAATTAACTCAAAAAGTAAAAAAGTTTTTAAAAAACATTTAACACCCTCTACCAGTTGGAATGCAATACTTTTGAAAATATGTATATAATTGCTGTTATTTAGTATTCGACCTCAGTCATATGGCTAGAGAGGCTATAAATATCATTTGATACGGCCAAAACGTGTCTCATCGAAATAACGGTTTTAGACCCTAGGTCTCTTTGGATCAAATCCGTTTCATTTGGAGGCGATCTAGCAATGTACGTCCGTTCGTCTGGCTGGCTGGTGCGCACGATACCTCTCGAAGAGAGTACCCCGGAGATGCGTAATATAGGTCCGTTCCTTCTAGTATCTCCTCCACAAAAGGTCGAAATATAAAAAATATATTTTACTGCACAAAAAGAGAAAGGATAACACAATTTTGCACAAACTTTGTAGAATCTAATATTTGCATACGTGCTAGGTCAGTTGCGAAAACGGACAATATTGGTCCACTGCATCAAGTATCTCCCCCACAAAGGGTAAACATTTTGAATAATTATAACTCTTACATAAGAGTCCGACTGTCTTTAAATTACACACCTCACAATATTTTTATTAACTTAAGGTCTGATGTGAAGATGGAATATATCGGTCCACTTCTTCTGGTACCTCCTCCACAAAGGGTCAAAAGTTTGAATATCTATGAAACTCATAAAACACGAAATTAACATTTAATTTTATTCAGACTAGGCACATCCCAATATTTCCATAAACACAAGATCCGTTATAAATATGGTAGAGATCGGACCACTCCTTTTGGTACCTCCCCCACAAAGTGTCAAAATTTTAAATAGAAAAAGGTTCATAAAATCCGTAATAAGCATCATATTCTCTTCAAATTAAACACATCACAATATTATTATTAAACCAAGGTCTGGTGTGAAGATGAGATTTATCGGTTCACCCCTTCTGGTACCTCCTCCACAAAGGGTAAACATTTTGACTATCCATGAATATCATAATCGGGAAATTTACAGCCGATTCCATTTAGACTTGGTAAATTCCAATATTTCAATTAACACAAGATCTGTTATAAGGATGGTAGAGATCGACCATTTCTTTTCTTACCTCCCCCAAATAGGATTCAAGATTAATAAAACGTTTAAAAAAAGCGATATAAGCATACAACTATCTTCAAATTTCACACATACAATATATGAAGATGATATATATCTGCGAACGCCTTCTTGTACCTCACCCACAAAGGGTCACAATTTTCAATACTTTTATTTATCGAACTTGCGACACAAGTCAGCCATTCTTTATATTTTGCAAAATCTAAATATTTCTCTAACCAGACACCTGAGATGAATATGGAATTTATCATTTCGCATTAAATTTTAAATAAATGTTTGATTTTCTTGTAATTTTGCCCATACCAATATTCTTATCGGGATTAGATGAAGTATTTAAATGGAATACATCGGTCGACTACAGCTGGTACATTTTTACATTTTCTAAAAATTATCACATATCCCATATAAAATGAGGGAATTAACTTACAGGGTTGCCCATATTCGACAGACCCATACGGCAACGCCATAACTTTTGACAGAGATGTCACATCGCTTAATGACATACCGCGTTTGAAGCGTCAGTCCAAGCTGATTTTTACCATGAACCAATACACGCCACGCGAGCGCTCTGAAATAGTTGAAATTTACATTCAACAGAAGAAGTCAATTGTGAAAACTCAACGTGCTTTTAAAACATTAAAAAATGTGAGAAGTGCGCCTTCTAAGAACACCATTAAGCGTTTATACGAAAAATTTTCGACTGGTAAGGCTCTTTCTAATCCGAAGAGGCCATATAAAAGTCGACCAAGGCGATCGGCCGAGAATATCGCTGCCGTACGAGCCAGTGTTGAGAGGTCCCCAAGAACATCCCAAAAACGTCGTTCTCAGCAGTTGGGCATGGCTCGGTCCACTTTACAACGGATTATTCGCATTGATTTGCTCCCGTACAAAATTCAATTGACGCAAAGAATGTTGCTTGCGGACAAGCCTCGTCGATTGGAATGGGCCCAAAAAAAACACGAGTCCGTCGAATATGGGCAACCCTGTATATAATCCAAACCTGGCACGTCGCAATATTTATATCATATTTATTTAGGCCCGATATGAAATTGACAATATAGGCCCATTCTTTGGGAACATATCCCATAAAGGGTGAACAATTTGATAATCACAGCAGAAGTCAAAATACATCTGTCGGCAAGTCTGACTGATAATTTTAAACTTGTGTTCTTTTTTATTTATTTATTTATTTATTTATTATTATTTATTTATTTATTTATTTATTTTTTTTTTTTTTTTGAAAGTGGTTTTGAGCTGCATTTCTGAACGAGTCACTGGTCTATTATTATATATTCCCCCTAGGACTTATACTAATATTACGATGAATGAAGACTCATCTAAATCGGATTCTCCCTACGTTTCTTATGAGGTTAATATGGTTTTAAAAATTAGTGTTTTATGGGGAAAGTACCAGAAGGGGTGGATCGATGTGGTTTCTAGATCTAATACTGATAGAAGCATCTGAAAGTTCAAAGTTTGAAGGAAAAAAAGAAAAATGTGTTAATTTTGAACTTGTATGGGAGATAGGAAAATAAGTGGGTCGATATTAACAATTTTCTTCACTTAACGTAGGTCTCATAAAAATATTACGACGTATCAAGTTTGAACGAAATTGGCTACTCCTAAGTTCTGTGTGAGATATATAGTTTTTACAATTTTGTGAATTTTTACCATTTTTAGGGGTACCAAAAAGGGAAGAAGTGTATCATCTTCCAACTTGATTTCACTTTAATAAGGCACTTTAGGATTTGTCATGTTTGGACAAAAAATTATATACACTTAGCATCTATACGACTAGGGACTAGGGGACTAGGGCCAGAATAGAAGCCTATTCGGAGATGAACGCATAATATTTAGGTGTTGAAATGGACCAAAAATTTAAAAACTTTCTGATTTTGCAGTTGCTTTACAGGTCGCAGTTATAGACCAATCGACGCGGAAGAATGGTTGGACCGATTTTGACAAATTTTGTCAATTCAGAATGCCCTCTTGACATAAAAGAATAAAATCTAAAAAATTACACAAAAAGATGCCAATAATAATGATATTAATAAAGATTTTGTAGTATTTTGTGATATTTTTTAGAGTTCAGCACAGGGTTTAGAATGGACCACTACTTTTGTGTAAAAAACACCATCATATCCATTCTACTGAAACGCTGAAAATAACTTAGAGGTGATATCCAAACTACACAAAATACGAACTTTTGGCTTTCTCATGCTGATTTCGTTGATGAATATAGCCAAATATCGTAGACAAGCAAATCTTATAGATGAGTCTCAATTTATGGAATCGGAGGGGCCTCTTGCTTTTGGAGATGATCGCAGAATATTTAGGGTTTCAAATGAAATCAAATGAACCAAAAACAGAAAAAAATTCCTGATCGCACAATTGAAGCCAATCGAAAAGTTTGAGCTAGAGAGAGAATTCTAGCATTTTGGATTTATATTTAGTTATATGGCTGTAACGGCACCACGACAGAGTGCGTAAATTTTGGGCAAATGTAACTGGTCAAAATGGGTAAGGTAATATCTGAACAGTGCTCCGTGACATCATTTCAAAAGCGAAATCTTCCAAAATGGATTTGGACATGAAGGGGCTTCTAACATATTATAATGTTGTAGGGTATCACATGGTCGGCCCCGCACGACTATAGCCTTTGCTTACTTATTTTAATTTATAGAAGGTATAAATAATTAGTCCCGGACGAACTTGATGCACTTTAAGCTGTCAACAAAGTTTTATATTTTATCATTAGCGGAGGGTACATATGCCCTCCTCCTAGTTTGATATTAATTCTACAGTCATTTCAATAATCTCTGTTTTATATTCCCGACGATCTCAAGTAACAAAAATATTGCAACAACTTTCAATTTTAAAACGCAAATATTCATATCGAACATTCATATCAGTGTGTTACATGTTTTATAAGCAACAAATAATAAAAGCTTTTTAACTGAAGCATTTGTGTAGAACCACATTTGCCTTTGCTGATCAATGCCTTAAGTCGGAATTCATAGAATAATAGAAATAAATAAAATTAGTGTCGACTTGTTCTGAATTGTTTTTATGTTACTATGCGACTTTTATTACAAAGCTTAGTTACGGACATGTGTGAGTGTTTGTGTGTGTGACGCTCAAATGTACAGATATTCCTCTAAAATTACAGTATTATTGATAGCAAACGAAAAGGGCGCTTCAGTTCTACGTGACG